TTCCCAGCCCATGGGCTTCCCAGCCCCACTCATGAATGGGCTTCCCATCCCGGCTGACCAATGGGCTTCCCAGCCCCATTCCCTCATCTACTTAATTTGAATTTCCATCTAGATAGGATGAATATAACTTCATCGAAGCTCTGTTTTCGTGACAAGTCTCAGCTGAAATGGCGATTTTGATGGATGGGAGTGTGCTCTGAACGGGTCGAAATCATTCCAAACGTGTGGTGTGGTGCAAATTTTGTTGAAGCTCACATGCGATGATATTGTCACTTTTCGTGGCAGGCGCAGGACTTCGTGCGGGCTTTGAAGCGTGGAAGTGCAATTCTCGTGGCAGGCGCAGGGAATCGTGAGGTTGCGAGGTGTGAGGGAGGTGACATTTCGTGGCAGGCGCAGTACTTTGTGCGCGTTAGACGTGTGGATGGGGAAAGATTCGTGGCAGGCGCAGGGAATCGTGAGGTTGTGAGTTGTGGTAGAGGTGAATGTCGCTGTCCCATTGGGATTGGCGTGTGAGCGGATGTTGTTTGGAGGGGCTGGAATCGCGAAACTGCTTGGCAGGGCTGCGTGATGTGTGTGCTCCGATGGGTGTTTCCGCTTGACTTTTGGAGGAAGTCTCGTACGAAACGCTCGTTTTGCAGACTTTGACGTGTGAGTTTTTGAGGAAGTCTCGTACGAAACGCTCGTTTTGGAGACTTGACGCACAACCCTCTGCGGAGATCGTGCGTGTCGAGTGCACCAAATGCAGGCGAGAGTGCGATTTGTCCCATGCGCGCGCAACCCTCTGCGGAGATCGTGCGTGTTGAGTGCGCGAAATGCAGGCGAGAGTGCGATTTGAGAGTGTCCGACAAGAGTATCCCACAAGAGTGTCCTACAAGAGTGTCCCACAAGAGTGTCCTGCAAGTGACCCACAAGAGTGTCCCACAAGAGTGTCTCACAAGGTGTCCCACAAGAGTGTCCCACAAGAGTGTCCCACAAGAGTGTCCCACAAGAGTGTCCTACAAGAGTGTCCCACAAGAGTTTCCTACAAGAGTGACCCGCAAGAGTGTCCTACAAGAGTGTGCCACAAGAGTGTCCCACAAGAGTGTCCTATAAGAGTGTCCCACAAGAGTGTCCCACAAGAGTGTCCCAAAAGAATTTCCTACAAGAGTGTCCTACAAGAGTGTCCCACAAGAGTGTCCTACAAGAGTGTCGTGTAAGAGTGTCCCACAAGAGTGTCCTACAAGAGTGCCCCACAAGAGTGACCCACAAGAGTGTCCTACAAGAGTGTCCTACAAGAGTGTCCCAGAAGAGTGTCCCACAAGAGTGTCTTACAAGAGTGTCTCACAAGAGTGTCGTACAAGACTGTCCCACAACAGTGTCCCACTAGAGCGTCTCACAAGAGTGTCCCTTAAGAGTGTTCTACACGAGTATCGCACAAGAGCGTCCTACAAGAGTGTCCCACAAGAGTGTCCCACAAGAGTGTCCCACA